TATGCTTTACAAGACAGTATGCTTACTCGCCGATGCTGTTTGTGATTTGAAAGCCTCCAGTTAAATAATTCTGCACACATGTTTGATAGTTCCTTTGTTGCTTCCGCTGAAATCGAATGTGAGGTTATGTAAAATAATGACGTATTAATGTCGTTTTTGACGTTAAAAATATGTAAAAAAAACGACATTATTACGTCATTATTTCGAGCCGGGAAACCCACGTTAAACTCGGCCTTGTGCCATGCAACCCTGGTTGGGGGCTAGATACCGAATCAACCTGAGCTTCTCGGCTTGACGGTTGAAATCACCCTCTGAGCAGAGAGGAACTCGGACGAGAGGCCCGCCGAAGGGTAGAGTCTCGTTCGGGGAGTTTGACCCACCTGATCCCATTTATACGGGCCCTACGGGTATTTTTTTTGGCTGAGCCTATGGGCTGAGAAACCCACGTTAAACTCCGATATTTTGTGCCATGCAACCTTTGTAGGTAGGGCTAGATATCATAGATAGATATTATTTCGTGTAATATACCTTCGTTATTTCTACTCTTGTGTTCGTGTTCTTCTTTGGTCCTGACCTCGACTATAAATAATATGAAAGTAATTTACTTAAAATAAATAGAGAAAAAAATTGTCTATATTATGTAATGAACATGCATCAATATATATATATATATAGTTATATATATATATATATATATATATATATATATATATATATATAACTGTGTGTATGTATGCATCAGACTGAAAAAGTAATAAAATAAAACAGATAGATAAAATGAGAGTGAAATTATCAGGCGTCAGATAGATAGATTAGACAGACATACATAGGTATAATCATATTTATATATATATATATATATATATATATATATGAACGGGAGACATTAATGATCATCGGGTCAATAGTGATAAGCTTCTGTATGTTTTATTATTATTCAATATTAATTGACAAATGTTTGATGATCGAAGTATTTTTTAAAGTATTTGAGATGAAGATCATTATTCAAACGTATATTATTAAATATAACATATAATAAATGTTTATTATGTTTTGATCATGAGCCGTTTAAGCTTCGTATAGTGCTTTAGCTGGTTCGAGAGAAAATAAAGACAAAAACTTTCCACCATTTGATATTTATTTATTATGCTGTTTCTCGATCTATGTTTTCGGCACACATGTGCCATCATCAGTGGGGTTAACTGGGTATTACAAACATAGATATTCACCATCAAAGATGACATCCTGTTATGTTTTCACAGAAATTTTTACAGTGCAACAACAACGGTCTCACAGTAGCAGACGCAGGTCGTAAATTCGTAATACGGTTCTATGACGTCATACATGATCACGTGAGAAAATATCAACAGAACCATGTGTTTAAATGCACTGTAATATGATGACTGGTTTGAAATGTAATTTTGTTGAGTGTTTCTCGTCAGGAGGTTTCTACATCAATTGACTGTCATTTTTTCCCATGTTTCATTTTCTTAACACCAAGTTTGATGTAATTAATTGGCGAGATAGTTGGAATGTTCGATTATTGATGTAAGGCTGACGTTTTCTTTTTTTCATTTTTTTCTGTGTCTGTCTGTTAATATAATTTAAATAATAATAAAACAAAAAATAAGCAATTTGGTCATGAAATCACTATACCTCTTAACACCTTGAGAGCTTAACCTTGGAGCGGGTAAAATGGAGATCAACGAGTTTTAGTGAACTCAGCAATTTTCAACCTGCTGGTCTGAATCATCTTCAAGAAGGAGAGCAAGATCTAAAAGGTCAAATAATCTAACAGTGATCTCATCTCACAATCCTCACACTTGCTCCATATATGGCCTCCTTTTAAATCACTAGCGGGTCTAAATGCTACTTTAAGTTTATCGCACAAAAATTTCATAACTAAAATCAATAAGCTGTCAGATCTTCATACGTCGAAACCGACGGGAGAGTCCATTATATATATATATATATATATATATATATATATATATACATATATAAGCGCAATTTGTAAACAATGACTTCTGCTGCTAATACTGCAAATCTCTTCCATGAATTGAGTGCTTTTTTCATCACATGCGTTTTTCGGGAAGAATAGGTAAGGAAAAATTCACCTTTCTACAGGGCGCTGATAGCTCATGGATAAAACTTCGGCTTGAGGCGATCAGAAGTCTAGCCTCATAGATGAGATATGATACAATGAAACTGTCTGTGGAAGACGACACACACACACACAAACACACACACACACACAAAAAAAAAAATATATATATATATATA